ATGGCTGTTCTCTTGCTCTCTGTACATCCCCGCTGAACCAGTCCGTTTTGCTCACATTACCACCTAGTCTTCTTAATTATAGGGCTTAATTAGTCCCTGGTAACTGATGAGCCCACCTTACATCAATTTCCCCTATAAAAGGTAGCCTCCTCCTCCCCCCCAGTAGAAGACGTGTCCTGCCAGCCGCACATGATGGGACGTCACTCCACGACCCTTTGTGTAAGGTCCCCTGTCCTATAAACCACTGATGTCTCTGTTGCTGTCTCTGGGCTGTTTCTTCGGTCTCGAGGCTGAGCCACTATAAGGCTTGCAGGCCCTGCGGGGTGCACGGAGGACAAACTGCAAGGCCTGTTCCTCCCTCCACTATGGACCAAGATCCCACATCTGTCCAGAGTGAGGCAACAGCAGAGCGGAGGGGTGAGGTCAGCAAGCCGCATCACACCGACATGATGCAGAAGCATGTGAGTCAGCCCGGGATTTCTTAAAAGCCTCTGAGCCTGTCTTCTAGGAATCTACCCAGTTAATCCCCACAACATCCAAAACACAGGCACGTCTTTCCAGTTTTTGCCTCTAAAAGATCCTCTTATCCCCACCCACTTGCCCTGCTCCCCTGTCACCACCCTTTTGAGTCTTTATTCTGTAATGGCTTCTCTACTCAACTCTCAGGACCCACACCAAGCAGCCCCCCAGCAGTCAGAACAACCTGGTAACAGTTCATCAGCTCTGTTCCTAATCCTCTGTGGCCTCCTCCTGCTGTTAAAATTAGAGCCTTGGAGGCCCCTACCTCCCCCTGCAACCCTGGTCACCTGCCACTCCCCTAACTCGAGCTCTCTGTCTGGAAGAAGCACACTTGGGGCCTTTGCACCTGCTGGGCTCTCTGGTGGAGCACTCTTCTCCCCAGCTTTTCCATGCCTGGCTCCTCAGCTGACTCCTAGCTTTCAGCTGAGACCTTCCTTGACCCCATCTTCTCAAGAAGCCTCCATCATCCTCAGCCTTTGCCGCTATCTGTAATTATTTATCTAAGGGCTGACTTGTCCATCTCTCTGCCAAAAATGGAAGCTCTGTGAGAGCACCGGCTTTGTCTTGTCCTACACGTTATTACCAGAGCCTGACACAGACCCTGGTACTTAGAGCTCAGAAAATATCAGTTGAATGGGTGGATGAATAAATAATAAGGGAATGAATATCCCCTGGGAGAATCAATATTTTCAACGCTTTTCCCACGCCCCCCTCCCCCTAATCTCCCACCAAATCAGATACCAAATAGGCCCAGATTTCTGAAAAGACAAAAAGTAACATCTTTCCCTTCGGTAAAGTGAACTTTGCATCCTCTCACCCTAGGCCTTCCCTCATTCACACGATCTTCTCTTACTAATCCACAGCAGCCTTGTTACTGACCACCTTTCTCCCTGGAAGCGACCCAGAGCTCCTTGGCTCAGAAAACCGGAACTCTGCCCTGGAGTGGAGCCCAGGTCACAGACTCACATTTGAGGGCAGAGAGGCCCTGGTGCCCTTTGAGTGCTCTACCTCTGGCCAAAAGCCCTGTCCTCCGGAGGAACAAAAACAGGAAGGGAGCAGAGGCCTCCAGCGCCTTGACACAGTCCCGGGAGTCTAGGTGAAGCTCTGACACCTGGCCCGCTTCAGACCCAAGACAGGGAGGGAAGAGCAGGTGGGCAGGGGTCAGTCAAAGGACGTGGCGTTTGGGAAGACACTGCCACTCCCCGCTCTGAAATGAGACAAATTGCCTGGCTTCAAAACCTGATTTCAACAACTCCAGTTTTGAAGGCCACACGTACGCTATTTAATCTCTCTGAGCCTCCATTTCCACAGCTGCCAAAATGGATTTCACAGTTTCTACTTTAAGAAGATTGCTGGGCACTCTGTCCCCAGATATTATGTCTGGCTACATCCACCCACCCTTCAATTCCCCAGGACAAGCCCATTATTCTTACGGGAAAAATTCAGCCAGGCATCAGTCCTACTCAGTGACTACCCCCCCTCCCCACATACGCATTTTTTTCTGACTGTTTTGAGGCTGAGCCATACAAGCTGATTCCCATTTACTTAACTTGGTTTGAAAACAAGGCCAGCCTGACTCCTGAATTTAGTGTATGCTTGTACACAGCAGCCATTCGTGTCTTTTAATGAACAAATCAGACAAGATGGGTTGTCTCTGTTGATCCTACCAATCAAGTCTGATAAACGAAAATCTCTTTTTTCACAATGAGTGAAGGCACTGATTCACCTTGTGCTTTGATACTGCAAACAGACACGGGGCAAGAAAACAGAGTCAGAACATGAAAAGGCTCAAGACTCTGAGAGTCACATTCCCTTTCGGCAGAGGCTATGGGGAAGACGTGCAAGTGGGATGTTAAATCTCCATATTTCTTTTGGAGATTACCTGTCAGCTCCCACAGAGCAGGGCTTATGCTTTCAGAAATCAAAGGGACTTTTCAAAATAGAACAAATCCTCCGCAAAATAAATAAATAAAAATTAAGCAACCTTCTCAGCATCACTCGTTATCAGGGAGATGCAAGCCAAAAACCACGCTGCACCATCACCTCAAACCTATCAGGAGGGCCACGATCAAAACGACAACAAATAACAAACGTTGGTGAGAATGTAGAGGAGAGAGAACCCTCCTGCACTGTTGGTGGGAATGTAAATTGGTGCAGCCACTGTGGAAAACAGGATGGAAATTTCTCAAAAGAATTAAAAATAATGACCCAGCAATTCCACTCCTGGGTATAGATCTGAAGAAAATGAAAACACTAATGTGAGAAGATACATGCACCCCTATGTTCATTGCAGCATTAGTTACAATAGCCAAGATACAGAAGCAACCTTAGTTCCCACTGACAGCTGAATGGATAAAGAGGTACACAGTGGAATGTTACTCAGCCATAAAAAATGAAACTTTGCCATTTGCAACAACATCGATGGACATGGAGGATATTATGCTAAGTGAAACAAGTCAGACAAAGATATATCATTTATACGTGGAAACTGAAAAACAAATTAACAAACATAACTAAACAGAAACAGAGTCAGATATAGAGAACAAACAGGTGGTTGCCAGAGGAGGTGGGGAGGAGCGAAATAGGGGAGGGAGATTAAGAGGTACAAACTTCACATTACAAAATAAATGAGTCATGGGTATGAAATGTTACAAATGCAGGGAATATAGTCAATAATAACATAGTATCTTTGCACGGTGACAGATCCTAGCCAGACTTCCATGGTGATCGTTTTGAAATGTATAGGAATACCAAATCACTATGTTGTGTACCAGGAACTAACCTAGTGTTGTAGGTCAATTATACTCCAAAAAACAAGCAACAAACTCTTAGAAAAAGAGATCAGATTTGTGGTTACTAAAGGCGGGGCACGGGGAGAGGAGAAATTGGATGAAGGCAGTCAAAAGGTACAAACTTTCCAGTGCTAGGGATATAATGTACAACATGATAAAACATAATTACCACCGTTGTAGGTTATGTTTGAAAGTTGTTAAGAGTAAATCCTAAGAGTTCTCATCACAAGAAAAAATGCTTTTTTGTATTTCTTTACTTTTGTATCTATATATGAGATGATGGATGTTTGCTAAACTTATTGTGGTAATCATTTCATGAGGTATGTAAGTCAAATCAGTATTCTATACACCTTAAACTTATACAGAGCTGTGTGTCAATTATATCTCGATAAAACTGGGAGAAAAAAATAAACAATCTTCACTCCATACGTGGGCTGCCACTATATTTTGCAAGGATGTTTAGCAGAAGCATTCTTCTTTTAGTCTTGCTCCATAAATACTGAACAAGGAAAAACATTGCCTAAGACTGAGATTTGGCAAAGGAATCTGATGAAACCCGTCAGTTCTGTGCCTCAGTGTGACGTCCCTGAGGCTCCTGGTGATTGTGTGATTAGCTTTCTGCTGTCCTACCTCAAGCTTTACGTGCAAAACACAGTGTCTTGTAGCTCAGACATGCTTGTTCACCAATGCAGCAGCATCCCAAGCCATCTCTACCCAGTTAGAGGTCCACCTAGGGATGCTTTAGTCTAAGAAAACACACCTACCAAAGCAAACCCACAGAAAGGAAAACAGCAGCACATCCCTATGCAACAGAAGTGACCACGGGTTTCTTTTCCATCATTAGCTACATTTAACACAGGGAAAAACTTAGACTTGGAGAGGTTAAGGAATTTCACCAATTTAACTCCGAAGAGGTACAGCCAAGGTTTGTTTGTTTTGTTTTTGCCTTTACAATGGATTTAATGTAAGAAAATGTGACTAGCACACTATTTGGCAAGTGCCCTTGGTTAGGCAGAGTGTGGGAAGCATGAACAAGAGGCAGGATAAAGGTAAGGTGTTCACGAAACAGCACAGTTGAGAAGAGCGTGGGTCTAAAGTCAGACGGTCCAGGTGCTAGTCCCAGCTGAGTCACTCACGAGCTGTGGGTTGGAGGCAAGTCATTTCACTTCCTTGCTGTTAGTTTCCTCACCCAGAGATGGAGACTCATTAGTAGAAGCATGCATTACCTACTTCCCAGAGTTCCCGGGGAAATCAAATGAATGTGAAAGCTACTGGAAAATATGAAGGCGTATCCAGAAGTCAGGTAACTCTTGTAATTTATATATATATACACACATACATATAAAAACAAGAGCGGGAAATTACCTGCATCCATTCTTGCTCAAATGAAATGCATTTCCTCTTCCTAATAAAAGGATCAATAAGAATGTGAGAGATTTTTGTGAATCAGGATGAACACAGCTCTTGGAGAATGCGCACTGCTGTTTTGATGACATGTGATCCACTCTGTCATAGCCAGCTACCTTATGGTGTCCTAGGACAGTCATACAGGCCAATGGACCCACTCCAGTTCTGCAGGGGATCAGGCCCTAAGCCAATTACTTCGGGTTTACTGGACACTAACAAGGTGCTCGGAGTGCCCAGACCACTGAACACATTGTGAGCAGGCAAGAGGAGCCACCAACCTACCAGACAGCAGATGTGGCCAAGTGTGAGAAATGTGATGGGACACAGGTCACCTTCAAAGTTACTTCCAGATGCTCCCTTCTCCACCCTTCTGGGTTTGGGTCAGCTCGTCCTGCACTTCGGCCTGAGGACGGCAGTTAAATGTCTTCAGCAAGTCATCATCCCTCTAGGAAATCCAAACAAGAGAAACCAGGGCAAACCCCTCCCTGGACGAGAGCTGCAAGCACCCTTCCTCAGTGGGCCCCTGGCCCGCAGGGCCTGGCTGCAGGTCGGAGTCCACTCTGAGGTCGGCTGTCTCCTGCTCACTCTCCCATTTCCTACCCTTCACATTCTTCTGTTCTAGAAGCTGAATAAGTTCCTCAAACTCTGGCCAGAAAGAACATCATACAGTTGAATAACTACAAGGATGATCAGAACAATCAAAGGAAACAGGACCTAGAAAGCTCTGCATGGACTTACTGACCTTGTCAGAAAAGCCAGCACAGGGGAAGGTGCTTTACAGAACAAGCCACACGGTAGCTGCCTGCCCACAGACAGGACAGTGGGGCTCAAACTTCAGTGGGTATCAGAACCACCCTGAGGGGGCATGAAAACACAGAAGCCCAGAGTTTCTGAGTCAGTTGCTGATGCTGGTCCAGAGACTGCACTTCAAAAATCACTGTCATAGTTAAGTGGGCAAGGGCTACCCGGTCTCTCATTCCCACTGGGACAACTTCAGATCCTGACTCATCCTCCTCCACCCCCGCAAACTGAGCCTTAAGAAAACCCCTGAAAGGAATTAAACAGCCATCCCTCCACCTCCTCCGTTCCCCTTCGTCCATAATGGACGACGAGAACAATCATCCAACAATATCCCCCAGGACTAAGTCCTGTTCTCACCTGTGCACAAGATGATTTTGCAAAAGGAGTGAGTTATGATGCAAACCAGAGGACACGGTAGTGCAGGAAGAGCACTCAGGGGTTCCCCAGGTCCTGTTCTCTGAGCTGCTGCGAGGTCCCTCAATGTTCAGTGACAAGAGCATGCCACCGGGACGGTGCCAGGGAAATGCTGTGACCTGCTTTTCTCCTCACTCATTTATCCTCATGCTCTGCCATAATGCACTGTGATTTCCCACCAAGAACTCCCATCGTGTCACCAAACTGCCGCCTTGCCAGCCTCGCCAACCATCCAATACAAAAGAAAGCAGCGAGCAACCCCAAGCAGACTGCATCTCTGGCGGGTGAGAGGGCAAGATCCCTCCAGACCAGGATCAGGGGGTTGTGACCTGGCAGGGACCATTAGAAATATTTCTTTCCTTCCCAAAGCTGATTATTTTATATAATACACTATTTCACTAACAGCTGGAGTTACTGCTACAATTAATATTATTTTGCTTTGGGGGGGTCATTCAAGGAAGTTCCTACAGAGAGCAGTGATGTGAACGATGTAAACACTCAGTGACAAGAGCTCATCCTACAACTCTCCTCTACAGTTCAAATGAGAAAATGTGGCCGATATTCACCACACATCAGCTTGGCCTTTTCTGGCTATGGGAGAGGAGAGGTTGCATACATTTGGGGCTGCAGTTGTGGGCCTGAAAACCAACTTCAGGCTAAATAAGGAAAAAGAATGAAGAGTGATTCATTTACAGCATTTTGGTAAATATACATAGTGCGTATATTTGCAAATACCTGGTTTTTAAGTTGGTTTTCTGCACACAAATAGGCATATTTAGTGGGACAAATGTGACTTTGCCTCCCATTAAAAAAAAAATCCAATTAGCTACTTCTCACATGCAAAACTGCAATAGTTTCCAGGCTCTGAGAGTGCCTGGTCTGGTATAAACCCCATGAAGTCTTGTGAGCCAACCAACATTCTCCAAAGCAGTAACACCAATAAATACAATCTCCACCTACCCCAAATTTAGGAATTGATCTCAGATATACCATGTTCAAGATACAGTCCTCAAGCCCAGACAGCTGTATGCAGAAAATTCTGGAGCAGGAGAGCTCAGCCAGTCAGAATACTGCACAATACTGGCTGGGGCCTCAAGAACACTGATTAAATAATCTTGCCCTCTCCCTAACCTCCCCTCCAAAAGTCCGCTCATCTGCATGCACAAATGAGACCACGCAGGAGCTGCTTCATGCCCAGCACCCTAGGTGGTTCTTGCCCTCACCTGTTTTCCAGGAGCGTCATACACACCACCTCTCGCACCCCGGGGTTGTTGGCCTTCTCCACGGAACAGCCCTGCAAGTTCCAGGTGGCCAGCCTCAGCACAGGCCGCCCATCCCTTGTGCCTCCAAAGGCCTCCACCGAAGGCCGGGTGGAGATGATCTGTGTAGGCCCCCCGGGCGGCAGGTCCAGGTCCTCACTCTGCAGGCTCAGCGAGGTGGGGCTGGGGTGAGGCTTGGCGGTGAAGGTCAGGCCCCCATTGGTGTGGGTGGACGGGGGCCTGGACCTCTCGGCAAACACCTGGTGCCGTATCCTGTCCAGGAAGGCGGCATTGATGCCGCCCATCCTCACCAGGTCCTCGACGCTGCGGAAGGGCCCATGCTCGCGGCGGTAGTCCACGATGCTCACGGCCATCTTCTCCGTGAGGCCTCGCACGCTCATAAGCTGAGCCGGGGTGGCGGTGTTGATGTTGACACGAGGGGTGAGGGGCACGGCGGCGGCCAGGTGGTGAGGTTGCTGCTCCGCCAGCAGGTCCCGCCGCAGAGAGCTGGGAGAGTGCTGCGCGGAGCTCCCCTTGCTGCTCACGCAGATCTCGAACTTGACTTGCTCCAGCTTGGTGGCACCCACGCCACTGACCAGTGCCAGGTCCTCTACCTTCTTGAAGCCACCGATGTACTCGCGGTACTCCACGATGCTGCGTGCCACCGCACGCGTCACCCCAGGCAGGGTCATCAGCTCCTCCTCCGTGGCGGTGTTGATGTTGAGCCGCTCCTGATTCACCAGGATGTTGCTGAAGTTGCAGGCCGCGCTGAACTTGCGACTATGGGACAGGTCCGAGGGGTCCCGGGGGATGGAGCGGTGGCAGCCCAGGGTGCTCCCCATGGCCAGCCAGGATCAGGGGCCCAGGAAGGCCTCACCACCGCAGATCTCTCTGGCTAGGGAGGAAGCCCAGTAGACCCCACAGGTACAGAAGAAGGGAAGGTACAGGATTCGGGGGATGAAATGGTTACCACAAACACTAAATCTCCATGCCCATACCATCCAAAAGCACCTTTCACTTGGCCACCTGGAAAACAAATCAATAAACACACAGATCGACTGAATCAATTAATCAGTTTGTATTAGCACTCCCTCCCTAAAGCTGGAGTTCTTAACCGGGAGTCCAGAGCTGTTGCCCGTCTGTGAAGCCCAGAAAACACACACACAAGGGGGCAGGCCCATGAGGATCTACCCTGTGGTGAGGTCCAATTTTTATCACACTGGGGTCCAAAAACGCTGTAAGCCGCTTCTCTTGGAAAGAGACCTATCCCCATCAGCCTACACCTCTCCTCCCCGCCTCTCTCAACTCTCCCAGCCCCGGGGCCTTTGGCCGCCCCCATTTGGGCTCTCGGGTATAAGGGAAGGTGCATCCCCCACCCTCTGCGCCTGAGACTCAGCGCCATCTGCAATTTGGGAATTCCGTCCTCACTAGTGCGGACACGGAGAAGGGGTTTCTCGACCCCCACCAGACCCACCGCTGGTCCCCGCGCCCTACCTCTCAGCCGCTCCTCCGGGACGTCCGCCTTCCACCTGCGGCTCCGAAGCCTGAGCCCAGCCAGGGACAGCAAGGGCCCCCTGCCTCCAGCCCTAGTGCCCGTGCGTTTGCGAGTCAGGGGCGGAACGCGGGATCCCTCCCACACCGCCTCCGGCCGGGCGTCCCAGCTCTTTCTGCTGGAGAAACTCTTAAGAGTCGCTCTCCCAAAACCGGCAGGAGCTGCAGGGCTTCGCCGAGGCGGCAGCGGCGGTGAAATCCGGCCGCCACGGCTGCACCTAGTCTTGGCGGCTGCACCAGGACTTACGGCGTTGCCGCAGTTGCGTTGATCCAGGCAAAGAAAGGGTCTTGCCCCGGACTCGGACGTCGGATCCGCAAGAACTGCGTCCAGACCCCGGCACCAGAGCCACGGCTCACGATCGCTGTCCGTGTCAAAGCCAAAGTCCCGGCCGCGACGCCCGCGCCTCCGCCGGCACCATGGCCACGCCTCCTCCCGCGCGCCAACCCCT